GTGTAAACACCGAAACTGGTTGAGTTTCACCAATTAGTCACTATTTTTTCAATGACGGCCCTGACCTCACTGCATACCAAACAAATACGAAGAACTTTTGCGTTTCCTGTACCCAGAAACACGATGTGCACATGCTTGGCCCCTTTAAAAATTCGTCATGCCAATCAAGTTGAGCATTGGCAACACCACAGCGACAAGACCAAAATTTCCCAAACTGAGCATTTGTTTCAAATCTCCTCCTCGAGAATTCTTCAGGCAAATTATTGACATAACCACACTCACCTCCATCAATAATATTCCGAATTATTCTCCTCATTGCCCCTCTGCCTAGTTTTGAAAGATACTCTAAACCCACGGGGTCTTCGACCACTGCTTTCATGTACATCCCATACATGTAAACACCTGTTTCGTACCCCATATCTGCAGATTCCTTGATGAGTTTTATGCCACAATTGTCTCCACGGCAGAAGTAGTCTTGCATCCCCTTCATGAACAGCAAACCCGGGTTGCGTGCGTCATACATCCTCCTCAATAAGTTGGGAAATTCCCAACTTGCGATAAAAGGCAGGTCGAAGTCTTCGGGAATAGGCATCTCCAATTCCACGGGATCAACGGATGCTAGAAAATTATTGATTAAAGTGCAGTCCTGGAACCGTTGCAAACTTGCTTTAGTGTGAAAACTTGTCGGATGGAGTTGCAACTGTATGCGAGAACCTTCTCCAATAGTTTGTCGGGTAGCGCCATCAGAAGGGATCGACAATCACGGATATCTGCATCACATTGCCCTCTCTTTGGTGCCATTGTTAATTTGTGAGGTTGATTTGTGAAGAAAACGGTTGTTTATGGAGATGGAATAAGTGCGGTTTAGGATTTGTGAGGATAACGGTTGTTTATGTTGCATATATATAATTATTAATAATTTACACTAACTGAGCGTATACATTAAATGCGGTTACCGTTAAGATTGTAAATGAGTTTGTAAATTTGGTGGCTAAACCAAAATTTTCTTGTTGTACACCCATTTGATGTACACCTAAATGCATATTGGTGTACGGATACCAAATTATTCCGGGAATAAAGTATTGACACACCAATTAATAAATACTAAAGTAAACTAAAGTATAAGCATATAAATTATCAAATGTACCCACATCCTAAACATCAAACACATAATCCAACAAATACACCTTTCATAAACTGTCAAGTTCAACATTAAAGTTCACCATTCGTCCTAAGCGTAGTTAACAGCCGGATTCCCAACAAACTCTTCGTATGAGTCCATGGCATATTTCTCTCTTAACCTGTCAACGTCATCGTCCGTTATCAAACCCATCTCCTCCACTCCAAGCCCTGCAGCATGCATCTCTAAGAATTTGGCCGCACATGGACCACAGTCACCGGATCTCGCGTTCTGATATATGCCCTCCGAATGACTCCATGTATAAGGGGTGGTGCGTAGGCCTTCCGTTAATTTGCTATCCAAATAACGCTTCAATATAAATGGCATACTTTGGCACACGACCGCCATATACTGCTCCACAGCCGCTTCATCATTATGACTGATGAATGAGTCCAAAATCTTTATGTTGCCCATTTTAAAGTCAATTACAAGGCTCACCCAATGCTCAGACCCCCCAGTTCATCAGGACGTAGACAACGTCCACAAACCGTAGAAACATTTGTCTCTGATGATGATTAGCCCACTTTGCAGGTTTTCCCAATACAATGCCCTCAATGGTTTTTCCCCAGTCATACTGATTTTTGTCTCCAGATATGAAACCGTTGAAGTAGTTGCCGATGATGGATATGAACAAGGTGTCTACAAATGCTACCCTGTCTATCAAGTATATTTCACCTCTACGCCTCCAAAGCATGGCCATTATGACTTGCATGTGCTGACGAATAACAAAAAATAAATAACAGATAACACAGATAATTAAAGATTCAGTAGGTACTAACTATATACTTACCATCGTGTTAACCCACTCAGTAGGCTTCGCAATTTGTAGGAAGAATTGATTGTTCACAGTATGACCAGTGACAATGCAAAAGTCGCTGTAATGAGAGCAATTGGTAATTGATAACATTGAAAGTTTAAAGATAAATTGCTTTGCATACGATATAACTTACATGTTTCTTTCACGCGATAATAACTCCTGGAATGCCTTGAACTGGTCTTGTTCCACTGTTTCGAGTGGTTTGTACGCAACTTTCGATCTGGATACAAATAGAGCTTCACCTTTGAATCTGCGGTGTAAATATCTCGAATCTTGTCCGACCGTACGCGTGCGCGTTTTCCTCTACCTCTTCCTCCTCTTCCTGTTCCTCTACCTCTTGCTCCTCTTCCTGTTCCTCTACTTTTTCTCTTTACACCAGACGATCCTTCAACTTTTTGTGGGGGT